TACAGGTTCCTGAGCCTACTGGGCTCTATCATATCTACATTTGAAACTGTGTATGGAGTCAGCCTCCACCACATCACTGCCTAATGCATTCAATTTACTAACTACTCTGACACTGACTTTTTTTCTACTGTCTCTTTGGCTCATTTGGGTACTCAGCTTCCACCTGTGTCCCCTTGTGCGTGTTCCACCAGTGTTAAATAATCCATACTTGTCTACCCTGTTAATTCCTCTGAGAATTTTGAATGTGGTGATCATGTCTCCCCGAGCTCTTCTGTCTTCCAGCGACGTGAAGTGCAGTTCACGCAGCCTATCCTTGTAACTCATGCCTCTTACTTCTGGGACTAGCTTAGTGGCATACGTCTGAAATTTTCCCAGCTTCGTCTTGTGCTTGACAAGGTACGGGCTCCATGCTGGGGCCGCAAGGTATTCCCATCCCCAATCTAATACCTTTCCTCTTATCCCTAATTACCTCTCCATCTTGGTGGTGGGTGGTGGTGGTGGATGATGATGGTGGTGGTGGGTGGTGGTGGTGGTGGTGGGTGGTGGTTGGGGTGTTGGTGGCTGGGGTGATGGTGATGGTGGGTGATGGTGGTGGTGGGTGGTGGTGGTGATGGGTGGTGGTGGTGGGTGATGGTGGTGGTGGTGGGTGGTGGTAGGGGGTGGTGGTGGTGGTGGTGGGTGGTGATGGTAGTAGGTGGTGGTGGTGATGGTGGTGGTGGATGGTGATGGTAGTAGGTGGTGGTGGTGATGGTGGTAGGTGGTGATGGTGGTGATTTCCAATTTCCAGATTAGTTTTCTATCATTAATCCTACCAAACCAGACCTAGCCTAACCTATCCTTACACAACATTAGGTAATTTCATCCAAATTACCACAATTTGTATCAATTCCACCAAATTTATCCTAATTATATCAAACGAAAACTCCACGAAATTCTACTAAATGTGGCTATACACATCCCATCCAGAGCACAAGTCAACTGTTACAGCTCTCAACGTATACTTCCAGCCTCCATTCCACCCTGGATTATAACTAATTTTGTTAATATATTAGTATTAGAAGTTGTTACTTGGTATTTTCCTCATATTACCACAAGTCAACCACCTCGGGCCTAACCTATGATACGACATATACTCACAAAAGTGATGTTTTTGGATGTGAAGCTAACTGCTCCGTGCCTAACCTGCAGAGGTCTTGCAGCTTCGTTGAATATTGTATCTAAATTCCTAGAAAAGAGAAGTTTTGGATATGAGCCTAACCTGCTTGGATCTGTGTTGAAAATTGTATCAATATTCATAAAAATGTGATGTTTTTGGAAATGAACCTAACTACCCCTCGCCTATTAAACTTGGATTTATATTCAATATTGTAGCTATATTGTTGGGTAAGTGTTTTGTTTTTACACATCAACTCAGCCATCCTGGACCTACCCTCCCCTTATCTAACTTCAACTTTATTATATTTATGGGAGGAAAGTGTTGTTTATGCATCAACCCAACCGCCCCGGACCTTACCTCCGATACATGGTTCAATATTGCATCATATTCTTAGCAATGTTTTTTTTTCAATACAACCATCCTGAACCTAACCTCTATTACCTGGGGGTTAATGGTAGATGTCTTAATAATGGGAGTTTTCTCTACATCGGTTAAACTTAACCATCCTTAACCTAACCTTATATACCTGGATCAGACCTCCATTTTATAACATATTTGTCAGAAAGGGATGTGACTTAGTCAAAATATACAACTACCATAACCCAATTTTCCTTAACCTATCCCATAACTAGGGGTTTTAGACCACCACCACCCACCACTACCTACCCCATCACTACCTACCCCCACTACCACCACCACCACCACCACCCACCACTACCTACCCCATCACTACCTACCCCCACTACCCCCACTACCACCACCACCCACAACTACCACCACCACCACCACCCACAACTACCCCCACCACCCACAACTACCACCAACACCACAACCACCACCACCACCACCGCCCACCACCACCACCAACCACCACCACCACCACTACCAACCACCACCACCAACAACTACCACCACCCACAACTACCACCACCACCCACCACCACCACCACCCACAACTACCACCACTGCCACTACCACCACCCACCACCACCATCACCCACCACCACCACCCACAACTACCACTACCATCACCCACCACTACCATCCATCACCACCACCACCCACCACCTCTATCCACCACCACCACCACCATCCACAACCACCACCCACCACCAACACACACCACCATCACCCATCTTTTGATGTGGGCTCCGGCAGGCTGGCTCCTGTGATATCTTGTGTTGTGGGCTCCGACAGGCTGACTCCTGTGATATCAACAGCCACAATTCTTCTCAGTACGTTTCATGGAGGATTTCTTCTCACATTTGTGACCTTGTGTCTGGCCTCCTGCTCCCTCCTCACATTACCTTACATTTACTTGAGTTAAACACTATTGTTCCTGACTATACAGCACACCATCACACCTGACTGTACACCATCACACCTGACTATACACCAAGCAAGGTTAAACTGCCTGCGAAAGCATTGCCACAATCAAAGGAAAAAAACAGTGTTGCCACAATATTTTGGACAGAGATGGAGCGGGACTGAGACAACCTCAATGACAATGTATATCGTAGCTTCGATCTGTCATGTAGAAAAATGAACATTGTACCTCCAAGAAGAAGTGGTGGTAGCGATGTAACAGCGGCCGGACACAGTGATGTGTTTACGCAAGTGGTGCTGGAAGTGTGGCATCGTGGAGGATGTGACGTCACCAAGCAGGCAGCCATTGCACAAATCAGCTGATAATATTTTTGTCGCCGAAAGCAAACTTGCGCTGCCGGTAGACCTTATTTAATTATATTATTTAGTATATATTGCTTTCATATATGAGAATATTGTATATTTCGGTCGTTATCACCATCATGGCCGCCCTCAGCCACCACGGGAAGGGTGAGGGGTGGCGGGGGTCCCATCCCTCTACATCATGACCAGCATCATTACCCTGGAACATCTCAAACATCTCCATCCTGCGCCACCATCATCCATCATCCTCCACCTGTGCTGCCCCCTCTGGCCCTCTGGCCTGCAGGTCAAGGCTGGCTGTATCATACATTAGCATAACGTTCATGTTTAGGAGACAAGCACACACGCTCGCTGCGATTTGTACGTGCCATACATGCTAGGCCGGAGGAACACGCGCGCGCGCGCACACACATACAATCATTCAGAATCTTGTACACCACATATGTAAGACCAATCCTGGAGTATGCGGCCCCAGCATGGAGCCGTACCTTGTCAAGCACAAGACGAAGCTGGAAAAAGTCCAAAGGTATGCTACTAGACTAGTTCCAGAACTAAGAGGCATGAGTTACGAGGAAAGGCTGCGGGAAATGCACCTTACGACACTGGAAGACAGAAGAGTAAGGGGAGACATGATCTCTACCTACAAAATCCTCAGGGGAATCGATCGGGTAGACAAGGATAAACTATTCAACACTGGTGGTACGCGAACAAGGGGACACAGGTGGAAACTGAGTACCCACATGAGCCACAGGGACGTTAGAAAGAACTTTTTCAGTGTCAGAGTAGTTAACGGGTGGAATGCATTAGGCAGTGATGTGGTGGAGGCTGACTCCATACACAGTTTTAAATGTAGATATGATAGAGCCCAGTAGGCTCAGGAACCTGTACACCAGTTGATTGACAGTTGAGAGGCGGGACCAAAGAGCCAAAGCTCAACCCCCGCAAGCACAAATAGGTGAGTACATATAGGTGAGTACACACACACACACACACACACATGAAGGGTATAGCAGGTAATTTGAAGTGAAAAACATCAGAAGTGCAGGTGTGGTGACTACATTTCTCCAAAGTACCTGGATGCGAGAAATAAGAGGGCTGAACAGAGCAGTGAGGGCAGAGTGCCCAGACTAACCCCAACACACTACGGAAGGTCACACATTACTACACAAATGTTAATAGTGAAGTGAAGAAGCAGTTTGAAACTAAACAACTAACACGGGGGCTAAGAACTAAGATCCATCAAGGTTACTCTACAGATCTGTAAGACGAAAATCATTAGAAAAGGATCAATATATTTGATTCAAAAGATGTAAACACTTTACAGAGAGCGGGAGGGAGGTGAGCCCTGACCAGCCTGGAGACTCCTCGAGGTCTTCAGGGTCCAGCCTCAGCGGGGCTCACAAGGGCGGTAACCATTATGGGAGATGCGTCGTACGTAAACACCTGCCACACATACACGGTGGACGTGACACATATACACGGAGTCTGGCTGACACGAAGCCTTCATAACATGTGGTGAAGAACATCACCATATGCACTAACTTTATGTCTAAAGAACACTGTGTTATTAGTCCAGTCATGTTTTTGGTGGACCTGAAATGGTTAGGTGCACCTGGAGACAGTTAGACCAGGTGCCAGGTATTGTAACCGATTAGGTCACGGACCAGGTACTGGAACCGGGTAGGCCAGAGAGACCAAGTACTGGAACCGGGTAGGCCAGAGAGACCAAGTACTGGAACCGGGTAGGCCAGAGAGACCAGGTACTGGAACCGGGTAGGCCAGAGAGACCAGGTACTGGAACCGGGTAGGCCAGAGAGACCAGGTACTGGAACCGGGTAGGCCAGAGAGACCAGGTACTGGAACCGGGTAGGCCAGAGAGACCAGGTACTGGAACCGGGTAGGCCAGAGAGACCAGGTACTGGAACCGGGTAGGCCAGAGAGACCAGGTACTGGAACCGGGTAGGCCAGAGAGACCAGGTACTGGAATTGGTTAAGCGAAGGGCTAGGTAGTTAAATCGGTTAGTATATTAATTCCCAAGCATGTATGCATATAGGCGTGTGACATTGTGTTTATTGTGCTTCTGTTGTGAGAGAAGGATGGCTTCATTGTATTTACATAAGATAACCCTGACAAACATGTGAATGTGTCCGGTAGACTAACGGTTCTTTCTTGTCTTGTGTCCACCCCACCCAGCCAGCCAGCGTACAGGAGAGGGACAGGACCGGCAAGACTGCCCTCCACTACTGCGCTGAGAACCCTACACTCTCCTGCATAGACCAGGTGAGTCCTGTGGTCCTCGTGGGCTCTGTGGAGGCCTCCTGCAGGTGAGTAGTGTGGTGTACAGGTCAACAGTACCGTCCCACAGGTGAGCACAGGGTCCAGCCCTGAGATAAGCACTATGACCTACATATGGCTACATACCTTTCCTTGATTTGTGGGGTCAATGCCCCCCCCCTCTCCCGCATCGGCGGTCGTTGGCTAGGCTTTCTGGTTGCCAATTTCATCAGCCCATTATTTTTTTGGGAATACATTATTGCCAATACAAAGATAACCCTCTGAACAAATATATCCTAGACAATGCACAAAAAAATGTCAAATTTGAAAATAAATTTTAACAGACAGGTCTTCACTATAGATAATTAGGATAAAACTCACTAGTGCATATGTGGAATATATGTAAGGAATTTACACCAACTCTTTCACACTCTCCTAAGTGTTTTGTCAAGGTCTGAGTGTATGGGTAGGACGAGACTTACATCTCTACGTCTAATGAGGCTGCTATCCTGGGTCCAGTCCTCTTATCCTTCTTGACCTCCTGACCAGGTCAACACTAGTCCCGACTACTGCTGTACCTGCGGTAATGTCTTCTATGGAATTATGGTCAGGTGTCCTTTCCGGAATCCTGCTATTCTGGGAGTTATTAATACAGGTGTTCATCTGGATGCTATCCATCGTAATCCTCTCCATGCCCCAAGGAACGCAGCAAATGGGACTACTTACATTCATCCATCTATTGAGATCCAATTTTATTTCACTCAGAATCATTTTCCTAGTAAAGCTATCCTCCGAAGTAAAGCTTTTGTTATCAACGAAAGTATTCAGAGTATTTATTAAAACCCCTTCCACTGCCTTTCTAGTTCTAATATTATTACTTTTATATATTATTTCACATTTCTCTAAATCAATATTGTGATCTTTTCCCCAACTATGGTTAGCTACATCACTGTTACCAGCCATAATTCTACATGCTTTCTTGTGTTCTCCAAATCTGATCTCCAGTTTTCGCCCTGTTCCCCCCCCACACAGTCCTCACTACTGTCTCTGCACAGTAAAATGTAACCCTCTCCCGGAGTACTATCCTCTCCTACTCTATTCTTACTAACCCTTTCCAGAGTTGTATTTGGGTAATTAAAAAAGATTTTGTTTAGTATCCGGTACGTTACGGGTCAGTTTACTTAAAAGACGGTTATAAGGCAATTTCCAACCCTGGTAATAGTGATAATGGAGTGATAATAAATAATGATCACTGCAGTAGCCCTGTGTGTGAGTTATGAACAATAGAGGAAACCTATTGATTCATGGTAGAGGCGGTCCTGTGTACAGTAATACATCACTCAGCTGTCACAATAGCATATAATAAAAATATTTAATAATTAGTTTTAACAAAAAAAAAAAGTTAAAAAATGAATTGATTTTTTTTTTCATTTTTTCTTATTTGTTTATCGGACGATTTGCATGAAACTTATACACCTGACTGCACGTAAGCCTATCTGTGAGGGGGCCAGGAAATTGGTTGATGTCAACCTCAGCCACAGATGGCAGCACTCTAGACTTTATTTTTTACTTATTTATTTTCAAGTAATATAAACGTTCCTATAACTCTTTCATTTTTTATTCAATTAACATGAAGCTTACACTTATATGTAGAGTTTATGTCTCTACAAATCTGTAAGAAGCATTTTTTCCTAAGTTCATTTATTGATTTTATAATAGTAATAAACCATGATATATTTGCATAATTTTTTATGGAACTTTGACTATTTGAATTAGTAAAACTAAACATATTTAAAAAAAATCCGCTATACAGATCCTTTTATTATATGCTAATGTGATAGAAAAGTGTCATAGAAAGGATTTCATTTGAAACTTGTGGTTGTAATTTCGAGTTGAAAATGTGTAAAATTCGTTGAAAAAAAAATCTTCCTTCCTATTTATGCTATGATGCTGAGACTTGGACCAGACGAAGCCCTTTTCATATACAACTCGCCAAAAAAGTTTGATTGAAATGGAACAAATTGGCATATTTGGCGCTGATGCCCCCCCTTAAGTTGTAACCGTCCTCTTACTGATCCCTTACAGTGAGTCGTTTGTCAAATTAGGTTTGTCAAGGTGATTGTTGACTGCTAATATTGCTACATATAACTTTCTCAGTAATGACTTACCTGCCTTAGCTGCCGTGCTGGTTTAGCTTCCTCAAGTCTCTAAATTTTGCTCATTTGATAGATTTGCTTCCTCAGCTGTCGTGATAATTTAACTTCCTCAGCTCCCTTACTATCATCACCTGCCCAGCCCATCCTCCGAATAGACAGTACGTTTTAATACTAAATGTAATAAGTACATTCCTACTATCGGCATAGTACATAAATACACTTAATCGCCAGCATTTCACTAAAATATTGTGAATATTAGAGTTTACCTGAAAAACTGTATAGAAAACCACGACCCCAGACGACTTTGTTAGTGTAGGAAGACAAGCATGTAAATAGCATTTATTGCTTCTTAATTATAATTAGTACTTAACCTATAGCTATATTAATATTACAATATTATAAAACTAAAAAACAAAACTAAAGTCTTTCAATAAATTATAAAGTAACTTAGAATATTTTCAAATTTTTTATAAAATCTCTAATGATTACAAAAACTGAAAAAGAAATTCTTTATTTAATACTTTGTGTATATAGAATTGAACACGAAAACTTAAAAAATACTTTACTTTACAAGTTATAAAACTTTAAAACCTAAAAATTTTGAGTGTATAAACACAAAATTAGGAGAATATATGGGGAGGTTAATGTAAGGGTACAATTAAGTGTATTTATGTACTATGCAGACAGTCAGAAATGTACTTATTATATTTAGTATTAAAACGTACTGTCTATACGGAGGAAGGGTTGCACCTGCCTCACTATCATCATGGAAAGCCTCACCTCCTCTCCCACACCTTGACGACCTCTTTGCACCGAAGCTGTTTATGTCGAGGAAAACTTGGAGCAGGTAGGAGGATCGAACCAGCATCTTGGGTAACCTGAGAAGCGCGCCTTAACCCATATGCGCCATGATATGCTAAAGTTTATAACACGTTATTGACATTTGCGTGTGTAGTCTCTCTACATTGTCTCAACACCTGCAGTGTCTCCGGACTGTTGCTCCTCCTCTCACCACTTGTTAGGAAAATGATTGCTTCTGTTTTGTTCTTGTGTTGGGGATAAAGACTGTCAGCCTCTGGAGGGTCATTAAGGCCGCCTCACTAGTTTACTAACCATCCAGCAGGTATACGTTAGTCCCGGTCAACGTCCAAGACTGCTGTAAACTCTCAAGTGTGTATACAGCGAAGTATATTGTATATTGCGCCTCTCAGAGGGGTTAATATACGTCTGAGAAGTCCAGTAGCAACTTGTAATTTAACAAAAACATTTAAGACTGGCCAATTTTGTGTTCTCTGATTCATTTATTTTCGGTTGTGGCAACTGATCTCTCTCACTAGTGACTCTTGTTTCTCAGCGTCAACTTTCGTTTGATATTTCAGTTTCCTGTTTTTTGTCTTTTTAGTTTTGTTGCCTTCGCCTTCAGTCATTTCTGCTTTTGTTGCTGATGTTCACCTATTTCCACTATCAATTTTCATCCAATTTCCATAGCATTTTTGTATTTCCCATTTTCATTGCCAGTTTGAGTCTTCTAAACTATTAACGTATTTATTTCCATCGCCAACCTTAATAAACCATTTCTCTCACTATTTTTTAACTTCTTTTAATTTATTACAGCCTTTTTATCCAATTTACATCATGTTTATTAATTAACCACTTCCATTGCCAATATTAATATCCAATTTTCAATCCCTATTTTAACTTCGTCAATTTTCTGGGGTGGTTTGACCAGGCAGTTCACCGTACAGCGTTACTGGAGGACACCAGTTCGAGCCCACTTTTTATTGGGCGGTGAAACCGTCAACTACAGGGTAATTAGTGCGAAGCATATTGCCCTTAATTACAGGTGAGAGGGACTTAGCGAGACCTTACGACGCCTTGGTGGGCGACGCGGGAGGAATGTCTTGTAGATGATCACTGAGACTGTGATCTTACGTTATCTTACGGGTGCAAAATGGGGAAATCTTTTAAGAACGGTATCTATATTTGACAAATAGTGTTTTCGAAACTGAAACAATGTGGGGTTTATTATTCTACACATATTTCTAATGACTCTTAGATGTCCACACTCTTTCAGGTAGTTGTCAAGGCGGTATACATCATTCTCACCATAGATTCTGCAACTCCTCTGCTCAACTGTTGTTTCTATTCCGAATCTCCATGGATATTGTATCCAAGACGAATTCTTGCTATTAATGATTCTCTCCCGTGGCCACCTCCTCTTCTTCCATAATGATTGGGATTGCCAGCTGCAACCACATTGTTTGTACCATCGTACAGATTCACTGATTTGTTCTTCTTTCCTCCTTTCCTCAGTAACCTTGTCACAGTGATATTGCCTGATGATACCTCTAATTTGTAGAGGGGTCTTGGGTATGAAGTATTCAATGTGGTCTCCTTCAGCACCTTCAGCAGCCAGCACATCTGCTCGTTCATTTCCACAGATTCCAACATGGGAGGGGATTCACAGAAATTAGATGATTCTTCCTTGATTGGTTAGTACTCTCACAGCTCTCTTGATCTCAGCGACTATCACAAGATTTTCTGCCTGATTTTTAGTAGGGCTTTGTAGCGTTGCTCTAGAATCAGTGCAGGTAACTGCGCCATTAGTGTTTCGTTCAAGGAATCTTAACGCCATAATAATGGCAGTTAGCTCCGCTTGTGTTGAAGAGGCATAGTTCTCAATACGGGCTTTTCCTTCATTTTTGCGTTGTAAGGCTTTATTCCTAATTACAGTGTATGCTGCACCAGCCCTGCCATTGACAGGGTTAGATGACCCATCAGTGTAGATTTGATCTAACTCATTTCCGGCTTCTTTATTGATTTCCTCCAGATAACTGTGCCTCATTTCTT